ATTTAAGACATCAGAATACACTCTATTTCATCTATCACCCAACTGTATCAAGCCCAGCTAGATACAGGAACAACAAAAGGATAATCTTGTCAAGATGTAGAAACTATGGAAAGAAAGCAATGGCATACAAGGATCTTGGTCAGCATCGACTCCCAACTTGACAAATAGAAGGGATTTATGATTAGCTCATCACCATGGAAACATTTAAATAACTTACTCCGGCCTTAGGTTCTTGGAGAAGAACATTTTCTTGGGAAAAGCCCGTCTCCTCCAAAAACAGTGGAAATGGTTTTTTGGAAAAATGCCAACAAAGCGTCAACAAGTTCAAGAGATGTCTAAGCTCCAATGTAATTTCAGGTCCTTTGAGTTGATGGCTATCATTCCCTCCAAATACGCTTCCAACGTGTAAATTTCCCTGCAAACACATTCACATGCTCGTAATAACAACTAAAGTCCCTATCAATCATCAACTCTTTTTTTATTTCTTAAAATCAACAAGTTCTCGAACTATAGGCTTATTACACCAATCATCAATAACGGGCAAGCATATTGATGCCAACTTGCAATAAAGAACAAAAACCTTACCTGCCTCTTTAACAGAAAGCTGATTCCGAAAGCCAAATCACCAATGGGCCACTTTCCCAGAGTCTCAGAATATGTAAACCTTAGTGTCTCAGATAACGTTGAAATTGTCTCTAACCATGTTGCAGGAGCTTGTATGAGCCTATTTGAAACTCGATCAATCCCTGAATGAGTTTGTGTGTCCACACCACCACTATCTTCATCATCATCTCTCTTAGTGGTACTGGACACTATTTTTCTATTCAATGTATAATACAAGAGAGCAGCAGCACCAGCTGCAGTCGCCATAGTTGCAGTTGCCATAACTTTTCGATCCTTAAATCTTTAAAACAGAGGCAGAAAAGGATAACCCAATTAAATTGGTTGTTTATGGCCGATTGTGCTAAATCTCTTATTTATTCTATGTTTATCTTTTCCGAACTTACAATCAATTGCAAAGCAGCAAGATTTCAAACTGTAACTACCCTTTCAGAATGCAAGTACTGTAGACAGTACAAGCAAAAGTTACCTCTCATCGATTGACTACTAAACGCAATATATATCAAACAGTTAGTGCCTTTAAGGAAAAACAAATAGGCTTTCGAGCATAACTCAGCTTTTTGATTGCTGAAAAATCCAAACAAAATCAGAAAGCAAAACAATAAGCATTAAAGTTTGTGATTTCACGTAAAAGCATAATCTTTCAAACAAGCAAACAAATTTTTTGATTGCCCAAACTTTCACGCTCAGTAAGCAAGCATCTTTGAACAAAGCTCCCCAAAATTTCTGCCACCCTTTTGACCAAATAACTAAAAAATTCACAGTACCGTCAAACCACCTAAAGGTTAATTGGGATTTTTCTTTTCGGTCAAATTTAAACAGCCATCAAATACGGAAAGGAATAAGATGAAAAAAATTAACATCAAAATCTGACCTGTACATGAGTAAAATATGAAAAAGCAAAACCCTAAAGGTCCAAACTTTGAGGGACATGTAAAAGTCGATTCAATTGCGGAGAAGAATACTGGATAGACATAGGAAATAACAAACCTGGGGAAATCCGATACTTACGGGAATTTAGGAAATTTATTGGTGATGAATATTAGACGATAGCTTTGATTCCAAGGTATTCAAAATTGAAGTTAACAAGTTAAGTAACGGAATTTATATTGGTGTGTACGAGAAGACTTCCTTTCCTTTGTATTTTCCTTCTTTATTCTTCTTCTCTAAGTCCTACCCTGTCTTCTGTACTTGGATTTGGATTTGCGGGAATTTAGGCCTCGTCGGGCATTTTGAGGTTTTGACGAACCTTTTAACCCGTTTGCTTAATTCAGATGCACGGGGAATTTTGTCAAATTAATTTTTTCATTATTCAATTTTAAAATAATAACTTTAAATCTCTTATAAAATTAAGTCGATAAAATTTAGTTCAAACACATATTTTTAATAACTTTTTACCTTGAATCCATCATATGTCTCACACGTAATCTTTTTTTTTTTTTGAGTAAAAAGTTAGATTTCATATGTTATGAGACAAATGACCCAAATCATATTCATTTTTTCCTATAAAAAGTAAAATATGATCCAATTTATATTTATTTTTATTACTAAAAAAGTGGAATCTAACTTAATTGCACACAAAAAAATGATGACATATGGGTTATATAGTATTTTCAGGGTAAAAAATTGTTGAAAAGTTATATTGAAACCAAAATTTGCTTACTTGCATTTGTAAGAATCGTAAGGTTAATATTTTAAAAATAAAAATAAAAAGACAAAATGTAAGAGACACTTTAAATAAATTTCCTTTTACTTTTATTTTTTTCTTAAATAACCCCAACCATTTTTTAAATTTTTTATCTCAACTGCAATTAATAATAAAAAAATGCTAAACTAAAAGATCTACAATAATACCTAATAGCATAAATTATTAGAAAAACACTTCCCTTGAAAGGAAAAAAACAGATATAAATTTTTTTCACTTGCATCATAACTACATCTTTCAATCTTTTTTTTTATCTCAAACACTTCACCTCATAAAAAAGTGTTACAATATAATTTTAAATAATTTTTTAAAATAACCTCCTACCCAAACACAAGCATCCAAACAACTTTACAACTTTAAAGAAACTCTTATGCTACGCTATATGTTTATGTGGTAAATCCGTATCTCTTATGCTACACTATAATACTATATGCATGTGCAATGACTTTCCAATCATCTAAAATATGTCATTTATTTCTTTAAGCACATAATGGATTAAATGGTTTCAAAAGACAATACGGAAAAAAACGCGCGAGGTGGTCTATCTTCATATACTTAATGCAAAATCAAAAGAAGGTTGAATCATGATCCAAACAATAATAATAATAGTCATTAACCATGAAATTAATGTGTATATGTGCTTTTTTTCAAAGGGAAAATCATTTAAAATATTGATCATGTCTCGTCAAATGAATTTTTTTTGTTCTTTATTCTTAAGATGCTGACTTTACATCACTTATAAAATCCAATTAGCTTAATGTAGTTCCGACCTAAATTTTTGACCACTTTATAACTTATTTGAGACACCAAGGTAAAATTACATATGTAGTTAAATAAATTATCGAGTTCACATTCACTTTTGCCTGTAAAAAAGCGTGATTCGACCTCTTTGTACATACTGGTCATACAGTGCATCCAAGCTATGGGCCTGTTTGGAACCTGAGTTTTTTGGAAGTTTGTCTAAAACTTTACTATAGTGCACTATAGAAGTTTTTGAAAAAATTTTGTAGAAATTTTTGTAAGGTGAAAAACTTTTTTGTAGAAGTTTTTGTAAGTTGAAAAACTTCTTTTTTCTTTTCTTTCTTTTTCTCTTTCTCTTTCTTTTTCTTTTCTTTTCTCTCTTCTTCTCCCTTCCCCCCCCCCCTTCCCTCCCCCATTACCTCTGCCTTCCCAGTTCCAAGCAGCCATGCCCCTACCATTTTTTTTTCTTTCTTTTTCTCTCTCTTTTTCTTTTTCTTTCTTTCTTTCCTTTTTCTTTTCTTTTCTCTCCTTTTCTTCTTCTTCTTCCTTCCTTCCCCCTCCCTCTTCCCTCGCGGTACCAGACGAATCAGCAGCCCCTCTCCTCAATTTTTTTTTTTCTTTTTCTCTTCCCCTCTTCTCCCCCTCTACTCCCCTTCACCATCCCCCTCTCCCTCCCGAAACAGAGAACCAGCAGCCATGGCACCTACAAATTTTTTTTTTTTTGCTTTTTCTCTCTCCCTCTTCTCCATCTCCCTCTCCCATTCTCCTCCCCTTTCCTACTCCCCTCCCCTTTTGCCCAATCTGGTCGTTCGACCAGATCGCAGCTAAGGAAGCGGGAGGGTGTGGCCAGGGAGGAGAGGGGAGGGAAGGAGAGGGGGAGGGGGAGAGGGAGAGGGAGAGGGGAAAAAAAAGGGGTTGACCGGCGCCGGAATAGGTGACCGGCACTGGAAACAGCGGTAGAGGTGGTGGTGCCTGGCGGCGGAGGTGATGGTGGCCGGCGGCGGAGGGGTGGCCGATGATGAAGGTGTGGTGGATAGGGGTGGGGGAGAAAGAAGAAGAAAAGAGAAAGTTTTTTGTGTATTAGATATTTTGAAGTGTATAGGTTAAAAAATTTGATAAGTTTTTTTGGGTTTCTGTAGCTAAAATTGTTAAAAAACTAGTAGCTAAAAAACTTGACAAAAAAACTCGATTCCAAACAGGCCCTATAAAGCACCAATAAACTTAGGTTGGGATCAAAATTAGTGAACTTGATTTTATAATAGATGCAAAATCAATATTTTAAAAGTAAAGGGTAAAAAAATTCATTTGATAAATTATAAAAGACGTTTTAAACGATTTTTCTTTTTCCAAAAATTAGTTTTAGAAAGAATCTCAAATCACTTTTAAGTAATTTTTTTATATTACATACGTGTATATGCAAAAATAGATATGGTAATACCTTTTTTTTTAAAAAAAAGAACAAAAACTCTAATCCTTGATTTGTTGTTAACAAGATGAATTTACTCTTTATCATTTGATTCACAGTGCAAATTGTATTGCCATGAAACAAATTTTTTAATGAAAATTTTCTTAAATATTATTTTTCTAGCATTACAAATATATTTTTTAATTAATTTTTATATTACATACATCACAAAACAAAAGTAATACAGCAATATTCTAGATCTATTTCAAAATAATATTCGATCCAAACACATTTTGGCAATATAACTGGCTAATCTACATTTAGGTATTTAAAGCCTATATCAAAAGGTTCACAATCTCACACTGACAATTGTATTCCCGCTGGTTGTGTACGTACAATTGTCAAGTTGTCACGACTCACACGCAACATATTAGAATGAATAGCCAATAGGACTGGAGCACTTTGGCGGTCTACATTAACCACATCTGGACTCCACTACACACTTACACCACCCTACCCTCCCTTAACTTTCAATCCATTTTAGTGGGGTCTTTTTTACTTCGGTATTTACCTCAGTTTACCCTTCATTAATAGCCACCAGCCGGGCATCGGAAGTTAGCTAGGGTTTCTTCACTCCAAAGGCTTTAGCGGCAAAGAAGAAGAAGAAGAAGAAGAAGAAGGAGAGGGGGAAGAATGGGACACTCCAACATCTGGAACGCTCACCCCAAGAACTATGGGCCTGGCTCACGCGCTTGGTTAGTTTGACCCCTGTACTTAGAATCTCTGCGCATCTCCTCATCAATTTAATAATCTAGCAATTGATAGATTTGGCTTTTGTTCATCCTCTATATCTCTCTGTCTTTTTATTTATGTTTTAAAAAGAGTAGCTTTTATTGATATTCTGTTGAATAGAGCTGGTGATGATTTTATTTTATCTTATTTTTTTGGGGGTTGGATCAAATTGGTCAGCCGCGTTTGCGGGAACTCCCATGGGATAATCAGGAAGTACGGGCTCATGTGTTGCAGACAATGCTTCCGCAGTAACGCTAAGGAAATTGGCTTCATCAAGGTCTGTTTTAATTTTTTGTTTACTTTTATTTTTTAATCTTTTGATTGAGCAAGTTTTATCATTTAAGCAGCTTGTATTAGTTTCGTTAGCTCTGTACGATCTTTGTGGTTTTTTAGCTTCTGCTGATCTGAGGGTCGCCTCTGGGTGATTAAGGTGTATGTTCTTTTATTAGGTCTTCACCTGCCTTCTGCAATTAATTGCTCTCGATATACCTCTGGTTTATTAGCATACTTTTCTTAGTTGCCAACTTAAACTTGGTTTGTGGTTTGTAGAGACTCTGAGGTTTTCTTAATTTTCCCCCTTCGATACTGTGTGGTTGTTTCGTACAATTGTCGTGCCTCCTGTCTGTTGTTCTGTCCTTCTCCAATCATAGGTGGAATACCGGTTACTGGTTATGCATTGTCTCGGTGCTTTGAGGTTAAATGTACCTCACAGGATTTTTGTGGATTGGTTTATCCTTTGGCCGTTTTAGGTTCCTTAAAGTTGGGTTCTTGGTATGACTAATCGCTATAGCTAAGGAACTTAATAGCATCTTAAACGTTTCTCAGCCTAAATTTATGAGAACAATGATGCTTTTACAAAATTTTGAAGGCACCAATTATCAACATTGTGTTGCATTTAAATTGATAAAATGTTGACTTTTCGGCTGTAATTCAATTTTCAAGCCTTACCAGAACGTAATGTGTTTCAGGCTCTTTCGTTTGGCCTAATTAGGTTGGGCAACTAAAGACACGGTGAAAGTGAAGGGAATGTGATAGTCTGGCCTTTTGTTGTTGTTCTGTCTCTGATGTTCTGTGTGTGCTTCTTGCTTCAATACCATTATTTTGCATCTCAAATGTCTGTTATACTGGTGTCTTAACTCTGTGTTTCCTTTAACATTGCAGTACCGTTAGGGATGGACTTGGTGCTGTTCTTCGCCTCCATTTGACGAATGAATTTTTTTTCCCGCCCGGGGGGGGGGGGAATATTTTAGTCACATTGTAGTCAAACCTAGTATGAACTACCTGTGGTTTTTAAGCACAACTTGTAGGGACAATCAAATTGCCCCCTGGTTATTCTGGTTTAATTTCTGCTTGAGGTAACTGGGGGTTGAATTGATTTTCTATGTTACGAGACAGTAAGATATTATTTGCAAAAAGCTATTTGATTGCATCACAAATACGTTTTTGAATGTGTTTTTTATTTTCTCGATCACATTTTTATATCACATTACAAAAAGTGCGATACTAATTGTATCTCAAATAATACTCTATCCAAACACACTCGATATCTGGAGATTTTGAACCTGGTAATTGGCTGAACTGGGGATGCCATCTTAAATGCTTGAGGGCCCATTGCTGTTCACAGAATTAGCTCTAGGCATATCTCACTTTGATGCTGCCTCAGGGGCTGTGGGTATAGGGGCGGCGTACAAGGGGCTTTATGTGAAGCCTTGACCGTCCATGCCTTTTCTCAGGAATGCGTGCCTTGGATTAAGGGATACACTCTGTATTTTGAGTAAAAGACAGTTGTGATAGATTCGTCATTTTGTGTGCTGAAAAGCGGGTGGGATTTCGGCTACAGTTGTCCCACTGGTGTGTCCTACCAGTGCCACTTTGATGGGCAAATGTTTTGTCGAACTTGCCTGGGGATCCCAGCAAAATGGAGTGCCCTGTCATGTATTCGAGCTCCAAAACTACTAGCCTATGGTCATACACATGATTTTCTGTCCCTAAAACTAGCCTATGGTCATGGACATGGTTTTCTGTCTGGAAAAGTTCCAAAAGGGTTTCCCTATTGTGGACTGTGGTCTGGTCAGCGATTCTGTTCTTCTGAACTTCTTGATGCGCTATCGCATTATGACCCATCTCCCTCTCTCCATTGAAAAATGGAAGGCGTGAGAATTTTGAGAAACAAAATGTGCAAGCAGTTTCCCAAGTTATTGTGTAGTGAAAAGATTGAGCGGACAATACTGATGGTAATTCAGAATTTACATTCTTTGTCAAGGAATGGTTACCATTTATACTGGGCGAGCCCTCATTTTGAAGTGAATGAAGCATATCGTGGCAGTAACGACTATAATTCTCAATTCTGCACATGAAATGCAATGTACTATCTATTATGATGAATGGAAGCCGACGACAGTTTTTAAGTTGGGAGTGTGGACAGGTGCGAGCCGCTAAAACAAAAGGCTCCTCGAGTGTTGACCAAATAAGTAAATGCTAAGGCCTTGTTTGGATTGCTTGTTTCCGTCGGAAAATATTTGTCATTTTCCGTGATCACATTTCCCTATCATCTTTTTCTCTCACATATATCAAATCGCTACAGTAATTTTTCCATGAAAAATGACGGAAAATGCAATCCAAACACAACCTAAATCTAGCATGATAAATTTCCAAGTGTGACCACGCGTCCATATTGTTTCTAGCTGGTGATGAATACAGTAGTGTTGAGGATTAGCAGAGGTGAGGTGATCAACCCAAGTTGAAGCGAGTCGAGGCGTAAAATGATGGTGTCTCCCTGATTTGAACTTGCAAGATTAAAGCTAATGAGAGTTAAGCAGTAGCATAAAATATGACGGAGCATTAGAATCGAGACTAGATTCATTCGGGAGCATTAGAATCGATGCTAGTCAGAAGGCGATAAGCAGAACACGTCAGCTAGTTTGTTGGATGTGTTTATCAATCAAGTGTTAGGTGAGTGACATCTTTTAAGAATATTTAACGACAAGACAAGACAAGTGACAACGTAAACTTTTTCGATTTCTTTTTGTTAATTTTTGTGGGTCGTAAAAGACAAGTCTAAAGTTAAGAAAGAAAAACATGGCACCGTAATCAACAGCGCTTCTACTGTTACCATATCGACGGTACAATAGTAGCGCTATAAAAGTTTTTTGGGATAATTTCACGAGGTTTCTGACAATTTCACTATCATCCTTTAAAGTTTTAAAAATATCGATTGTCTTCCTTATATGCTATTTGGGATCCAATGCTTATCTTATGGATGATTAAATGACTTTATTATCCTTACAATTTAGGAAATATTACGTAGTTATATGGAGAGAAACAATTGAGTCACTTGCACTAAATTAATCATGATTTGGAACATAAAAAATTTGAAAATCTTGAATTCTAAATTTTGTAACGGTAATTGTTAACATTTTAAAATTCTTTTTCTTCATTTTAACAGTTCTCGTAATTTCTTTCTCCTAAAAAATGATTAAAATTCCAATTGAAATATTATTATTTCATAAATTTTTCATACGAATAATAAGATGAATATGAAAATACACAAAAAAGAGGGTAAAGTATTAAAATATGTTTACAATTAGATTTTATTAAGTTATGGATAAAATGTAACTACACATAATCTATTCTCTCCTTTTTTTTTCAAAATATTTGGTGTTTCTTTTATTTTCTTTTTATATGTAATCCAAACAAGATTGTAAGAAAAAAAAAGTTCTATTTTGATTTTTTTTTCATTAAAATCATACACTTTTTATTAATCCAAACGTTGCTTGAGAGTAGTTTTTTTAAAAAAAAAATTACAAATGATGGAAATTTCTTATTAATCATGTGAAATAATGGACCTTGTAAGTTAAAAAATAATTCAAAAAAATAACATATTTTAGTGTATTTTATATTTTTTATCATTAGCTATCTATTGTGATGTTTTTTTTTTTCTTGAAAAGGCCATACGTCGTCTTGTTCAATTCCTATTTAAAATCTTTCAAATTCTGATACTAAATGTTTAGGAATTCTTGATTCCAAATTAACAAGTTTTCATCTCCAATACTTTGATTTTGCTATTTCATGATGTTTTGTGAAAAATAATCATTGTTACTAAATTCTATTATACTCATGCTAGAGTTTAGCCTTTATTTTTATATTTTTAATTAATATTTCCTTTTGATTCTAAGTCAACCAACTAGTAATAAAATAAGGGGTACTTTTTGGTATGAAATATTCTTCTCACTCGTGAAATCATTTTTTTATTATTGATTTTTTTGAATTGGGCTGATTTATTACAAGAACATTAATTTTAAGGAAGGTTAATGATATTTTTAAAATTTCATGAGAGAGCAGTAGCACTGTCAAAAACTTTAGGGGAGGTTTTTGAAATCATTCCAAAGTTTTTTCACGTATTAAAATTAGTATCCTATATTTAATTTTCAAATATTCCACCTTTCACTTTCAAGTGCACTCCAGAGTCACGACTCAGTTCCCACAATTATGAGTTGCTGCAACGAGGAAAATTTTGCTGTTTGTGGACCGGAAAAAGCCTTGACATTGAATTTGTCTATTTGTACGCCCAAAACTTGGACTGCTACGTCCTTTTGCATTTTTGTGCGCTGTCGAATTTCTGTTGCCATCGCCACGACACAATAGTCAATAGGTCCAGCGGTCCTGGTCCAGCCACCTTGGACCACCGTGGTCCGAATCAATTTTTATTTTCTCGGGCCGGTAGGTGCTCGCTTCTTTTAACCATTAAGAATGACAAGCCATCATGCGTATTAGCCACACATTAATCATCATTATCGGTGTGGCAGACACTAATCAAGTCTTCCGCTTGACTACGACGTACTAGTAATATTATTGCTTTGCATCACCTCTTAAATTATTCAAGTATGAGCACCGCTTCAAAATGTACTAATACAAGAAGAAAGTAAGAGATACCTCGATGTCTTCATTTATACCCTCACAACAAGGAGACTGACTTGTGTCTGAGTTAATGAAAATCGGAGAGGAGAGGCCAGCACGTAGTCTCGATGGACCATAATAAATAAAATAGAGATGACAAAGGACTGTGACTAGCTTTCTTTTTTTTTTTTTTTTTTTTTGGGCGGGGATGGGGGTAGGTTAACTCAAACAAGAAACCATCTAACTGTTTGGATTAGCTGTTTTTTGATAGTGTTTTAAAAATATTCTATTGTAGTAGTATATATATAAAAAATTTATTATAGGATGGTTTTTGAAATATTTGATAAATTATATGGATGAAATGTTGTTTTTTGAATTATTTTTATTTGTGTATTACTATAGTATTGTATTTGAAAAACTTGTTTTTAAAAAATAGGCCAATCCAAACGGACACCTTTTTTTAAAAAAAAAAATTTAACTTATGCTTGGTATATCTTCAATTGTAAAATTGGTTGGCAGGCAATTAAATATTTCAACTCGATACCTTACTTTCTTGAATCTTCACGATATCTAATTATACCCCTTTGATGAATAGCAAGAAAGCTCGTTTTAACTCCTCTTAAATGACTGAGGATATGCTTATCTTGATCACATTCAACCCAATAACCCACAAAATGAACATACTTAGCTTTGTTCATTCATCATCATTATTTTATTTCTTACTGCTCACCTAATACAAGTCCCCAAGCATTTTTAAAACATGGTAGCAAATAACCATTGACTGAAATTCTAGCGTAAACAAACTCGGCTCTCTCTCTCTCTCAATGTTCCAATACAACAGTGAAATTACATAAAAGTCCTATTAAAAGGGAGAAAAAAAAACACTAAAAAAAAGTGCTAGCATACACATATCCCACGTCAAATGTGTCCATTACCCAAAAGCCAATCACCACCAGTTAGTAACCACCACCACCAGTACATACAAGCAGAGAAGTAAGTAATACTTAATAGTAGCAGTAGACGAAGGAAGATCCTCTCGTCTTCCTTGTTTCATCTTTTTCTTCATCATTCCCACAGAAAAGAAGAGCCCATCAATGATCAGTCGCATTGAAAAAATAAATGCGTCTTTCTAGTAGCACTCTCTCTCACAACGGACGTCTACTCTGCTCCAGCCAGCATCAACTTAGTCCTTTTCCTCATCTTCACTTCTTTTAACAGCCCACGTTAACGAATTCATCCTCATCGATCTCTCATATTAACAACCCAAATTAAAAAAAAAAAAGAAAAAAAGAAAAGAAAGAAGAAATGGCGGACCAGTTCTCAAACTCAGTTGAGCTTGGTCTGAAGCTATCCAAGAGAATTTTCTACGGGAAAGAGAGTTCGGCACCGGCGCCTGCGGTAATGGAGAGAAAGTCAGAGACTAATTGGCCGCTCTTGCCCACGGGGCCGATGGTTTATGCAGTGATATCAGAGCCGTCAATGGTGGATAATCCTGACATACCCAGCTACCAGCCGTACGTTCATGGCAGGTGCGAGCCCCCGGCGTTGATTC